GATCATGACCTGAGCTGAAGGCAGCCGCTCAACCGACTGAGCCACTCAGGCGCCCCCAACACTGGGGTTTTTAATACAGATTATAGATGTACTGACCCATCATTCTTTTTTGTTACATTAGTATAAAATACCTTGAAAGCTTTCTATATGCAGACTTCGGTCTATTGTTTTTTTTAAACAAAACAAAACGGAATAGAAGCAATCATTCCTTGAAATACTTATGTTCTCCTCCTCTCCTGTGTTTTCTAAGATCAAGAAAACCCTGGATTCTGTCTAAATGTAGCCTCTGGCCATCTTCTGTTGGTCCCAGACCAGAGCAGCTGAGGATCTGTAGAGAAAGGAAGGCCCGATCTGCCCTGCAGTGTTTCCTGAGTCCTAGCACTTTTGCAATTTGAATTTTCTTCTCCAGAAAAGAGGAAACCATTCCTCCCCCACCCGGGCCTGGCCCTTCTAGTATCTCCTTTAATCCTCCTCCCAGGGAATGTGGGCCCACCTCTCAGAGGAGGAACTGGGCCCACAGAGAGATGCCTTTGGGGACAGGATGGCAGGCCGAAGGCAGAAGTCTGGTTTCTTCAGGCTCTAAAACAGCCTCCTGACAGCACCTCCCCTGAAGTAGACATTTAAGTACTGAATTTCCCCTTGCAAGAGGAACCCTGGCCTGGCCATTTGTTGTTTGAACAATCCTAGCTCTCCTGACTGACTTGGACAAGTCACTTCCCCTTTGCGCTCTTGTGATAGGGCTTTGCGGGGCCCAGGCCCAGGGGCTCCAGAGTCACCATTTATGACCGGTATGCTCATTAGCACATGGAAATCTGTTACCTTCTGTGGCAGTGGGACCCAGGGTGGGCTCTGTTCACAGGAAGGCCTTCGGTCTCAGAGACCCTGCATGCTGACCCTGGCTCCACCAGCCCCTCGTGGGGCCCAGGGAAAGCCATGGAGTCTGTCGTGCAGGCTCATTTTCTCCCAAGTGTAAAATGAGAGGTGGGACAAAGTAAATACTGGGTAGTGTCTCCGAAAATTAAAAAATGCACTTGTTTGTTGGGAACAAACTCACATATGTCTCAAATATCCTTCCCTGCTGGCAAAGAGGTAGAAAAGCTTTCAGAGACAAGTGTTCAGTGCTGGGAGGCAATATCACCAGCCGATCCCCTTATCAAACACGAGAGGTAAGCAACTTCATGGCAGTGATGACAATAAGAAAATAGGATTTAGCTCTTAAAAGAATGTGTGTGTGCTGCAGAAAGCATGATACTCTGTTAGCTTCTTTCGTGCCTCTGCCCAGAGATGCAGAGCATGCTTCCTGGGTGAGGCTTCACGGGGGGAAGCCTGGGTCTCCATAAAGCCATCGTCCCCAGAAAAGTCACCTGAAACTGAGCCTCTGATGGTCATAGACCCTTGGTCGGCAATGTATGCAGAACCTCAGTGGCAGGAGCCCTTGATGCTGATAGCTGAGCTTCACGAGGAGAGCTTTCTCTGTGCCCAGGGGCTGCACCGAAGGGCCCAGGAGCCAGCCCCTCAGGAGGGAAGGTCTAACTGAGATAATTGTGGAAAGTACCCAAGGATTATTCCAAAGATGAAAGTTTTTTCTGAAACATCCGCTATGTGTATGTGTGTGTATATTGTGTATACATGCACCCACGTAGCTGACCTTTGAACAACGTGGGGCTTAGGGACACTGACACTCCCCCACTGCAGTTGAAAGTCCATGTATAACTTTTTTTAAGGTTTTATTTCTAAGTGATTTCTACACCCAACATGGGGCCCAAAACTACAACCCTAAGATCAAGGGTCGCACGCTCTACCAGTCGAGCCCGCCAGGCACCTCAAAAATCCGGGTATAATTTTTGACTCCCCCCCACAACTTATCTAATAGCCTACTGTTGACTAGAAGCCTTACTGATCACATAAACAGCCAATTATCATATTTTTTGTTATATGTATTATATACTGTATTCTTACAATAAAGTGAGCTAGAAAAAAAAGTTAAAATCATAAAGTATATTTGCAATACTGTATTCATTTAAAAAAAAATCCACGTATATATGGACTGTGCAGTTCAAATGTGTTGTTCAAGGGTCGACTGTATAAACACATATACTTTTAAACTTTATTTTTTAGACCAGTTTTAGGCTTACAGAAAAATTGTGAAGATGATACAAAGAGTTCCTATACCCAGCCCCCAGCTTCCGCTATGCTTACTGTTAGTATGGTACATTTGTTAGAGTTAACTGACAGTACCGAAGCCCCTCCTTTGTTCAGATTTCCTGAGTTTGCCCCATCCCAGGACCCCGTCCAGGATGCCACATGGCATTTAGCTGCCGTGTTGTAGGCACACTCTCCACACTCAGACCCGGGCCGAGCCCTGCTCCCACCTCCCAACAACCTTGTCCTCCAAGCCCGGTGACTGCCCTGCAGGCCTGTTTCCTTAGCTGTGGAAGGGGCTGTGCTGAGGATTAGACCCAAGGCCCAGTGAGTGCTCGTGGCTGTGGCACAGGGAGAGGTCGGTGTGCAGCCTGTGGTGATGATAAAAGAATAGACGAAAAGTCTTTTGTTGGCTTTTATGGACACTTTTAAATTCTCTGTAGACACTGCACCCCGACTCGCGGCGTGCCCCGGGATGGACTGCTTCTGCCCCCACGCTGATGCCTGGGGTGCCCATCATTCTGTTCATGCGCATCCCGACAGTCCTTCCTAAGGCCATCTCATACCTGTCAAGCTGTATTTACACTTGTTTTAAATTTTGGGGGTTTTTTGACTTGCAGGAAAGTTGGAAGTACAGCACAAAGAACTTAACTCTCCCTTGAGCCATTGACTTGAGCATGTATTTCCTACCAGGAAGGGACATTCTGCTGCTGTGTGCCCCCCATGCCACTGTCAGAATCAGGAAATGAACGCTGCTGCAGGCTTACCTTGCAGCCCCTGGGCCCCGCGATGTCCTTTATGGCGAGAGGACCCAGTGCAGAAACGTCTGTGGCGTTGAGTTGTCATGCCTCAGAGGTCCTTGAGTTTGTAGCACCTCCTTGGTTGTTCCTGAGCTTTGGTGACCTGACACTTCGGAAGATTTCAAGCCCATTATTTTGGAGCATGCTCCTCACTCTGGGTCTGTCTGACGTTTGGTCATGAGTAGATTCCGGTTATACGTACGTCCTCGGCCCACTGTATCAGGGCTGCCACGTCCTTCTTGTGCCTTCCCACCAGTCGGCACCTGACTTTAACTCGTCCTGCTACGTCTGCATGCAGTTTGATTTCTAGGTTAAGTGTGTCTGCCACATTTCTCCATTGTAAGATGAGTCACCTCCCCGCTTTGTAATTAGTAAGTACGTAGTGGGGAGCTACTTTGAAATTCTATAAATACCCTGTTCCTCAGCCAGTTTTATTTATTTATTTGTGTCTGTATGGACTTATGGTTTCCTGTTGTATTTCGTGGATTGTACTCTGTTACTGTCATTGTTTACTCTCAGACTGTCCCTGATTTGGCCATTGGGAGCCTCCTCAAGCTGCCTTTTGTGTCCTGACCTACCCACATTGTTCTTGAATATTTCCTTACTTTTGGATACAATAAGATGTCTCAGCCTCCTCTTGTAGTCTGTCCCCCCACCCCCTGAGTAAGCCATTTGTCCAGGAGCCCTGGTTCCTTGTAGAGGAGAATGGTGATTACAGGTGGAAATCTGGATGCTACATGCTTATTGCTTTTGGGTCACTGCTGCTCCTGGGCCTTCTTGGGACAGAGCGAGATAGGACATGTGAGTGTGTGTGTGTGTGTGTGTGTGTACAATCGTGCATGTTCACACATCTGTGAAAACCACGTATTCACACTCAAACCTCCAATTCCAGCCCAGTGCCACAGGGTTAACTCAGCTTTTCTCCTTGTCCGTATTTGTAAGTCCCTTCTCTGAAGTGAGGACCCTGCCTCTCATTATCCTTAACCTGTTGGCTTAGTAGATGAATGTCCCTGGATGTGACCAGTCTCCCCAGTGGGAGGCTGCCCGTGCAGGGGCGCTGTCGTCCTTCCCCAGGCTCACGCTCTCTGCGGGGACACCGCCCCACACTCTGGGCCACTGATGAGATACCCACCCTGCTCAGCTTTGGGACTCACATGTTGGAGAAGGATGAAGGACTCCACCTGTTTCTCAGAAGGACCGCAGCCTGCTCTGTGGGCCTTCCCGGAAGACCTTCCCTCTGTTCTCATGCTGCGCCCAAGCCCTCTCACCTGTCTCGGCTGCCCCCAGCCCCTGCCGGCCGGCCTTCTCTCTCGAGCAGCTCCACGAACAGAGTCAGGTCTCTAGCACACCTCTGTATCTGTGGAACCCATTTGCAGCCTTTCATTTATCATGAATTAAAGTGGAGTAATTTTCAAAGTGTTTTTGATACCTGTTTGCACATAACTTTCAGCTCTTTAAAACCCTGGCTACTTTATATAAGCCATTATGGTCATTTCCTTTTTCTCAAAAAAATATGTCCCCTTAAGTAGAGAAAAGATAAGCACGGATTACCGATAAGTAGAAACACGTTAAGAAGACAGCAACTTGTATTTGCAACGTAATCATTCCACTTGCATTTGGGGAATTACAAAATCGTACATCATACTGAAAAACAAGACTGAAACTCTGCAGTCTGCCCCAAGACTGGAGGGGAAAGTGAAGTGGGCACTTGTGCTAGGTGCTGTCTTCTGGATGTGCAGCCCAAGAAGCTGTGGGCCTTCTGTGAGTCGTGGGGCAGCCAGAAGCTGCCTACAGACACCCCAGCACTGCTGTAGAGGGAGGGGCTTTGCCGGAAGGTTCAGGGTTTAACAGTCTAGAACAGTAATGGCAAAAGCTGCTGATGCAGGTATATTGAACTCCTAAAGTCATCTCTTCCCATCATTTTTTTTCTGTTGAATTTACAGAAATGATCAGGAATGTCCCGAACTGACTCAGTTGCAGTCTGTTAGGATGCCCAGCCGTTTTGTTTGTTTGTTTGTTTTTAATTCACCCTGTTTCTCTGGATTTTCTCTTGTGCAGAACACATATACCAACGCGGATAAGTTACTAGAGGCAGCAGAACAACTGGCTCAGACCGGGGAATGTGACCCAGAAGAGATTTATCAGGCTGCCCATCAGCTTGAAGACCGGATACAAGATTTTGTTCGGCGCGTGGAGCAGCGCAAGATCCTGCTGGACATGTCCGTGTCCTTTCATAGCCACGTCAAGGAGGTAAGGCGTCAGGAGACACAACGGAGCCTGGGTCTGAAAGGCTCTGTGAACCCCACGGGAAGAGAGTGGGCAGAGTGGACTGGTCGTGATACGAGGAAGTGGAGCAGAGTGGCCAGCGATGAGGTGTAGCGCGCTTGCAGCAAGCGGGCCAGCGTGGACGGGGGTGCGCTGGGCTTCCTAGCCTCTAGCCCCACAAGCATAAGCCTGCCTCTGCCGGGGGACGTGGGAGCCTGTGTATCTGCAGGACTGGACCCGTGAGGGCTGGGCTGGCGGATGACCGGTGTGGAGTAGCTGGTGAGCAGGGACGTGTCGGGCCGAGGGCTCTGCCCTTAACTTGGAGAGAGAACAGAGCACGTCCGTTTTAGCATCAGTAAACGACCTGCATGTTGTGGTCAGAGCTGGGTTTCCTTTCTGTGTGTGAGTCTGTCATGTGGCCAACATCATGGTTGACTTCTGATTTTATCAGACTGTTCGACTACTCTGAGATTCTGATAAAAGCGAATTTTACGTAATACTAAATTTAAATGTACAAAGCCACCATGGCCATGATAATATTAATGCTAATGTCATAGGTATTCTCTCGTTAATGCACTTACCTCATTGTAAGAGATAATGTTATTTGATGTATGAAAAATAGGGAGGTACTAATTATGCTTTTGTATGTGTTATTCTTAGTAGAAATTGCATAAAATTACAATTCAAGAAACTCCTGTAGCTTTTGAGAAAAAAAGGACTTACAAATTCAGTAAGGATATCAACTTTACTGCATCTTATTTCTAAGGGAAAAAAAATTCTCCACAGCTCTTTATAAATTGGAATTGAGGAGCCCTTCCAGGTGATTTGGAATTGAACACATGAAAGCTTATAGACACAGGCTGGGAAGAAGGATCTAGAAAGAGTAAGGCTGCCGGAGGAACACGGGAGGGGCATCAGAGATCAGGAACCAATAGATGTATTCAAAAGGAAAGAATTTCACTGCCAAGTCTAGGATCTTGGGCAGTCAGTCTTCAACCAGGCCATTTGTGACTTGAAAGCTTGGCTCCCAGGAGCGCACACTTCCGTCTTACTCTGAAACTCTACGAGCCCGTGTGGCAAACTGGAGGCCCCAAGACCTTGTGCTTCAGCTGCACCCAGGCTGGTGGTGGCTCTGCCATCCTCTGCTGAGCAGCCCTTTCTGCAAAAGCCGGCACTTGATGAGCCTCGGACGGCCATCAGAATAGAAAACCAACACCGCTAGTTTCTTTGCCTTCACTTAATAATGCCATAACTAAAAAAGACTTTACAACGTTTACAGAGAAACTGGGTTTTTTTCTGAGGATCCATGGTCATTCTGAGGAGACGTACAAATGCTCCATTTGTCCACAGCAATTTCTAGTCACAGATGTAGCAGGCTGTAAGTTCTTCCCTCAGCTCGACTCAAGCCGTAACCACCAAGTAGCCTCCCTGCCTCCCGCAGCACTGCCACCAGAAGTAGAAATTTGACCATGTCATAGCCTTGCTCTTGAACCCTCAGTGGCTCTGTGTATGTGGGGCACCGGCCTGAAGCCTCTCAGCATCCTTGTGGCCTGGCTTCCACTTTTCCTCCAGCCCCTCATACTCAGGACAGTGTCCCCAAGCCTGTGGCACTCTCACACCCCTGAAACTTGGACTTGCTGCTTCCCTTCACTTCCTCAGGCAGAGTTAGCGCTTTCCCTTGCACTTCCTGGAACTTTCTTGACATGCATCTGTTGTAGCACTTGTCCTAGTTGCCGTACAGTTGTGTGTGTCTCCCTCTTTCTCCTCAGTATGGATATGTTAGCTTCTCTTTATCTTATGCATTTGACCCCCACGCTGAGAGGGAGAAGGTGGTATTTGTGACAGAGCAGATTGTGTTGTTGCTCATGAAGCTGCGGCAGCCAGCCAGCCAGCCAGCAGCGAGGAGCTCTGAGCAGCCGCCGTGGCCCCCGTGGCCCTGGGTGGTCTGTGCTGTGGGAGGGGAGGAGCCGCAGCCACGTGTTGGTGATCTGATACTTGTCTCTGTGACATGCCTAGTGATACTCTTTAGCAGGATTTGTAAAGGCTTAGCTTGCCTTTAGGACAGAGCAGACCTTTTACATGACACGGTATTTATGGTTTACATCACCTTTTCAACTTGGTTACAGTTTTCAAAAAGCAGACACTAAAGGGAGCTTGAAGGAAGGCATTTTATAAAAGCTGTCCCCCCAGAGACTCCGCTTGTGGTCATTGGTTTTTTACATCAGTAGCATTTTTAAGAAAACAAAGAATCTTAGAATGAAAACATTCCAGTTAGCCACTGGTAGGGTCTGTCTTGTCACTAGCCTTGTTAATTTATCGAACAGTGAAAACATATTTTGTTTTCGTTGACTTAGGCTATGGGAACCTCCGGAATTGATGACGCTGGTAGACTGGGGAGACCTCAGATCTGGTTTAAAGGTGGAGTGGTTCATTGTTACAGTTCAAGAATTTTCAGCGCATTCATCCTTCCGTTTTTATATGAGAAACTGCCACAGTGGCAGTGAAGCCGGCATGTTGACCCTGACTTGGCTCTTCTTCAGAGATGCGAGGCCGAGGAAGGCTGCCCCCGATGGCCAGTTGGGGTGGGGGGGGCTGGCACACACAGGCATGGACTGCTGCCTGATTCTTCCCTGCCATGTGCTTGGACTTCATTTTTAGCCACTCTCGGAGTACATTCATTTTTTCCTGACCAGCTCCAGAATTTTCCCCCATCTCCTTTCTCTGTGCTGCATCCATCGTGCCCCAAGACCCACAGGGGTATTTGGTAGGTTTTATGAGGGAAAGGAATGATTTCCTCAATCATCATGTTTTGAAACTGGTTATTGAATGAAAACTTAGATCCGCTTAGAACAAATTTAGTTGAAAACAAGATGAAAAGTGACAGAAGGGCCAAGGAGAGGAAGTCCTACTAATCAAATACCTGTTTGTATAAAGTAAATAGTTTAGCGTACCAGAGGAATGGAAAATTGCTAAAAGATCTCTGCTATCTGAACTAATTTTTCTCAAGCAGATCATACAATTTAAAATTACATAGAGGAAGAGAGAAGAAGCAGGTTGTCTTTTTCAGTTAGGCAAATACATGAAGCTTTTTGGAAGTTAACTTTCAAAGGCTCCCCAGTGGCGGCATGCAGGTTAACTTTTTCGCCCCCGGGTGCCCAGGCGTGCTGGTTTCTCACTTCCTCCAGAACACAGCAGTGGCCCTCATCTTTTTGCGGTAAATTTCTGGCTCACTGATGAGCACATAATCAAAGGTGATCTCATTAACAACTAACTTTAAAGGTGCTGGATCAAGGTGATGTCGGTTCAGTGCTAGTTCGGGAATTCTTCTTATGAATCCCACCTGGAAGGGGATTGGGGGTTACACGCCGTGGCAGACCAAGCACTTAGGTTCTGAGCGAGACCTCTGGACTCCATGCTCTCTTGATCCCAGAGGACGGAATATAGAATTCCCATTCCTGGGAAGAGAGCAGAGAGGAAATATTTTCTACCTTGAGGTGGGACGCAGAAGGTGGTTAATAGAGGTGTTAGCCTCAATTTCACCTTCCAGATTTGGAAGCATTCTGGGACCCTTCCGAGTTTTTTTTTCCCCCCTCTGAAAGCAATTCATGAGATGCTTTATCTCCTCTCAGAAGGCTGGAAGACTGATAGTCTCCTTTTTCCTTATGACAGTGTTTTTAAGGTAGTATTTCAAAAGAATGTTGATTAGCCCCACATGAATTTGGATTTTATTTTAGGAGTTTTCTCCTCCTGCATTTTGTCTTCTACCTCTCGATCTCTCTGTGTTTTACTCACACCAGCTCTGACTGTACCTCTCCCGTTATTAGTCCTGTGTTACCTGCCCTCCTTTCCTTTTGAGGCTTTATCCCCATTGTTGAGTCACATATTCGCTGTTTCAGACTCCTTCCCAGGTGTCTCCCTGGCCAGCCATCACATGCCAGGACAAAGATGAATGACCGGTGGAGAAATACACTCCTGCTTTCATGTGTGTGGTGTGTTTTAGTCATTTGTTTGTTTTTCATGGTGGATGTGAAGTTCCTTGAAGACCAGAACTATGTCTCACTTATCTTTGTATCTCACTAGTTAGCCTGTCTTCCAGACTCAGCATAACCTCTGTCAGCGTGGGGAATAAATGATGTCTATTTCTAGCTCACCATTCTGAGATTTAATGATAGAGGGACATATTTCCATTTCCAAATATAGCATAAGCATCGTTATTTTCCTCCATTCGTACTTTGTTCTCAAAATTAGGTCCTGAGTTAATTGATAATTACCTTTGAAATTTGTGGGTTATTTGAGGCAACGAGGTGGTGGTTTATTTCTGGATTTGATTCAGTGACTTTGAGTTGGTTTTGTTTGCTGGATTCCTGAAAGCCTTGGTTTCCCAGGGAAGACCATTCCCATTTGAATCAGGCTGTGACTCTTGCTGGGTTTAAGTAAAGAAGGCTTTTGGTTCTGTTTCTGCAAACTTACAACTGGGACAAGTTTTTGTTTGGGGTAATGCTTGGGAAAAGAGGAACCTTTCATTTTATTCAGAAGTCAAAAACAAAGGCCTCCCAACCACCTGGTGATTTTTTTGTCACAGCATACCCATCTGGCTTCATTTTTATGCCTCCAGTTAAGCAAGCAGACTTCTTTCTTTATGCTTGGGCCAGTGCTTCCCCTCCCCGGGGAGCAGGGCCAGAGCCCTTGTGGACTTCACGCTGTGGCCACCGTGGTCGGGGAGGGTTTCCAGGGAATCAGGTGCTGTGTAGCTCCTTGGGGGGATGGGGCTCCCGGGGCCACCTCTCCTCTGGCCCTCACCTAGTTTGCGCCAGGAGTGTGTTGAAAACAGCCCCAGTGCTTTCTCAGTCAGCCCCCTGCTTAAAGGACCCAGATTTCCTTTCTCTGCTTTCACTGGTGGAGCTGGAGAGTGATTGGGCATCTGCTGGTTAACCTCATGCAGGAAAATTGTCTGATGGTGCGTGCTGTTCCTTGTGTCGACCAAC